AATAAAATATCAATTTTAAATAAGATAACAAAAAAATTACAAAATTATCGTAGACATAATGTCTATTTACAATGTTTCACACAACGGCTAAGTTGGCTAGGCCAGTATAATATTTATATTGATCCACATAACCCTCAAAAATATTTCATTTTCATGCAAAAAAATAGTTCTTTTGTAAGATTGTTGTATTTGAAGGCTTAAAAATCGTACTTTCTCAAAAGAATTGATATTTTTTACAAAGTATGCACCAGAAATCTTTACAATCATCTCCAATTAAAAATAAATGAGTAGAAATAGAAAAATGAGATTAGAATAAAATATCACATAGTCCAAATAGTAGTCGACATTAAAATTAATATGATAGTTTTGCATTCCGTCGTTGAAAAGTATAAGCTTGCTCTAGTGTCACTTTCATTTTGGTGATTTTGTGATTTAGGCGTCAAATTCATTATTTTTATGATATATAATTCCATTGGCATACAAATCTTCCCAGTGATATATGTGACTACCACGCATTTTTTTAAAAATATAATAATTCAATATATTTTAATGCCGATATTTTTTATGCTGATATCTCTGGTAGTTATAGAGTAAAAAAATCAAAAATCATAATATTCAAAACTGTAGAGATTTCTTGTGCTTCCGAAAACTCGTATAGAATATCTCATTTAAATCATACCAACAACCCTACAACTATGTAAATAAGTTGTGTATTAAATAATCCTCCGTTTGTGGTACATATGCTAAATAATTTAATAGTCAATGAAATATATACTGTACTCTGTATGGAAAAATATAACAATTTAATTTTTAATACTCTAATTTGTAAATATAATAATTTATCAACAAAACCTAAGATTAAAAGAAAATATTTGCTTATAAAACGGATGAATTTCCAATTATGTAAATTCCATAGCCTACTCTAATTATGACTTTTCTTGATGACTCAGTAAGTTTACTGTGTCTCACTGAAATCCCACTACCTCGTCTGCCAATCCATAATCGAGTATAAAAAATTTAAATCATTGGTTCAAATATTGGGACCGTGCAAGTTCGGAACAGCGACACCTGGTGTCGTAAATCAGCAAAATTTACTGCGCTTTCATGTTAGATCGAGGTTACCGGATAACTGTCAAGGACGTAGCCCCAAAAAAGAATAAGAAGAAAAAGTAAGATTGAGGTTATGTCGGTAAATTATTAAAAGGTAAACGTTGTATGTAGTGTAAATATAAATAAATATTTTATTAAATCACAGCATTACTGTTAATATGGATGCAATAATAAAAACTGGATTTGAGAAAGTAAATCACCAAATAACTTTTCAACCAAGCACTGAGTCAAAGGGTAAAGCTTTAGTAGTGGCAAATGTCAAAAAAGAATGGAAGAATTATGTGGAAGAATTAAGAAAAATAAATTACCATAAATAGTGTTAATGCATAAATTAGCAGGTTAAGTCCATGATATCATCATATTGGTTTGAACAATTAATTCTTTCCCTGTAAACTTTTGGACAGCGAATATATCTTAATTCATTTTCAGAATAACTTGAACTTGATGCATTTTTGTTAACTTCCAAAAATAAAATTTAAACATTAAACTTGTTTTTTGGGTTAAAATGAACTCTAAGTGAGTATGATGAAGCTAAAATTTACACTTAAAAGTGAACTTTTATTTATTATTTATTTCAAACTGACTTTAAAATCGGGCGCAAGAATAAAGCATAATTTAGGGTATGTTACTTATGCTTTTTTATGATATAAATCCACTTTTCTCTTTGTAGTAGCTTTGTGCTTCGAAGTTGGAAACGAATAAAACTTAAATTGACAATTTTTTGTTGTATTTTTACAATTTATAACACAGCATTTCCTAAATCCCATTTTCTTCAGTGACAGAAGGTGTAAATACACAAAAGAATATGAAATATGACAATTGACAATATGAATTTATGAAATCTATGAAATGTGCAGTAAAAAATGCAAGATTTCTCCGCTACTCGCACACGATCGTTTCTCGTATCCCCTCCAAGTACTTGCACGTCGCCAATAGAGAAATAAAAATATTTATTTCGAGTGAAGAATAAAATACCTATGTCTTAATTGAAATGGAATGCAAAATTGAAGAAAAAAAGTTTAAAAGTCAGTCACCTGAAAAACAAACAGAAATCCAAAATAATAATAGTAGACCGACAGGACTCAAATGATTTAAATATAAAGAAAATCTGTAATACCGAAACGGTTAACATTTTCACTTGGTCGGCTCCTTAATAACAAACCAAGCAGGATGCAGTAAAGAAATTAGAACAAGAATTGCACTGGCCAAGAAAGCCATGACAAAACTTACCCTATATTTCTATACGTATCTTAATGTTAGACATTAAAACAAAGAGACAAAAAGAAAATAGATACCTTTGAGATGTGGTTTTTTTATTAACAAAATCGCATCAAATTGGCTATCAGCGAAACAATAGTAGCGAACAATATTTGTATTACAACACTAGGATTTCCTAAATGGCGAAACTGAATTCAAATCTTTACCACTGTTCTTTCTAAAACTGGCAAAACAGACATATTGATGAATTAGTCGACAAGGGAATCTAAAATATGCATTCCACATGCCGTTCATCATGGTCAAAATTCGTAGTGAATTCAGTTTCTGGTACTCCAAAGTAAAGAAAGTAAACATAATGACAGTATCAGATTTTAATTTGGATGCAGGCCACAGCAAGCCGCTTATACGTATTTCGGCCTCTTTAGAACGACATATGCTGTTGCTCTGAATCAAAACAAAATTTATCCCGTCGTAGTACAATAATAATCGAAATAATTATTTAAAGACGTTACAACGCCATCTAATAACAACACTAGAAATCCTAAGATTTCCTAAATGGCGAAACTGAATTCAAATCTTTACCACTGTGCTTTCTAAAACTTGCAAGGCAGACAGAATTTGTATTATTTATAAGTTTAGATAGCGTTTAGAATATTAGTGCAGTTAAGAAACTTTTTATGTTTTACATATTGCATTGGAGACATAAAATATCCTTAGTTTGTTAAGTATATTGTACAACATGCGCTTTGGCGTAAATACTGGGTATTTCTCTAATATATGTTTAATTGTTAACTTTTCTTTACAGCTGTCCCATCTTGGTTCTTGTTTGTTGGAGCACATGGCTATTAGTTAATCGTGTATGACTCGAACCAGCATGAGTGAGTTAATATTATCGTGTCTCTCCGACTTGTTGGTAATGTTGGCCAGGGTTTTATCGATTTTTTACTATCCCGTAGCTTGGCCGATGATAATTTCCACTTTTCTTCCCATATATATCGCACTTTACATTTGACCACAGCTTTCACGTCCGCACTCGTAACTGTTTCAGTACACTCCACACTATCACTAGTTGCAGCTTCTTTTGCAGCGTTATCTGCCTTTTTATTTCGTTGATTTTTATTTCAATATAGGATGGTATCCAGAATATATATTTTTTTCAATCGGTTGAGCGGTATGAAGTTTATCTTCATGACCAAAATAACCACCATGAAGCACCCGTACCTTCATTTGATTAAGATTCATCTATGTATATATGTGTATAATCCTTGTAGTTGTGAAGCATATCATTGAAGGCGGATTTGATTAACTGTGGGTTTGTTGAATGTTTGTCGAAAGAAATGAGGCGGGTTAGGCACTGAGGGTTCTTTATTTGCCATGGAGAAATTGAGGACGATTGGGAGGGAAAGCATTCAGAGAACGTGTAGGTTAATTGATTTGAGTAGCTTCTAATCCTTGCGTATAAGGGTTTGGCCGTTCTTGGCTTATTTATGAAGAGATTTGGGAAGTTTTTTGGAAAACACTTTATAACAGTATGGTTTTTGGAGTTAGACCTGATTCTAGAGACGGTTTTGAGATGTATTGCTGGCGTCGAAGGCTAAGAGTGTTTTGGACTGAAAATAACCAATTTAGCAATCCTCTAACAGATCCAAATAAAGAGACTACATACCATAGTAGCTAAAAATATTGCAAAGTTCTTTATCCATGTTATTAGAAAAAATGCTTTGGAAATACTTACAGTGGGGAACATGGTCTATGGAAAAATAAAGAAATCGTGGAAGATCGCCAACCAGACATCATCATCATCAGTGGCATTACAGCTCGTTATGAGCCAAAGCCTTCTTCAGAACAATCTTCCATTCGCCCCTGTCTCTAGCAACTCTTCTCCATGGTTTAATTCCGATGGATTTTAGATCATCCTCTATGTTATCTTGATACTATGTTATCTTCCTCTGGCTCGTCTTTCCACTGGTCCTCTTTGGTCGAAAAGTTTTCTGATCGTTGCATCTTCATCTCGCCTAATTACATGTCCTATCCATCGAAGGCATGCTAATTTAATACATTCTACAACGTCAAGTTCCCCAAAACTTCTGTATAACTCGAAAGTTGTGGCGCCTACGCCACAAACCCTGTTCTTGGATTCCTCCATATATTTTCCTTAAAATTTTTCTCTCGAAACGTTTAAGCAATTCTTGGTCGTTCTGTGTAAGTGACCACGTTTCTGATTCGTATGTTAACATTGGCCTTATTAGTGTTTTATATATGGTAACTTCAATTTTTCTAGGTAGTTTTGGGGCCATCTCTTTCCTCAAGCCATAATAGCATTTATTGGCAAGCACTATTCTTCTTTTAATTTCTTCACTGACATTGTTGTCTTTGGTCAGCAGCGAACCCAGGTATACGAAGGTGTCCACACCTTCCAGTTCTAGATCATCAATGAATAGTCTAGGTATCTGGTTGCCTCATCTAATACAATACATATACTTGGTTTTCTGTGCGTTTATTTTTAATCCCATTCTCAGTGAAGACGCTCTTAATGATTGAAATGCTTCGATCTGAGATTCTGTGGACCTAGCAATATTGTCTATGTCATCTGCTATCCGACCACTTGTACAGATTTAGTAAAGATGGTGCCATTCGTACTAATATGGCACTCTCGAATTACTTTTTCTAGCGCAAGGTTAAATAAGAGACACAACAGTCCATTTCCCTATCTTAGTCCATTTTTACAATGGAAGGGTCTTGAAAAGTCGTTTTGGATTCTGACTACACTCTCTACGGCTGTGAGTGTAAGTTCCGTTAGTTGAACAAGATGAAGCGGCATTTGAAATTCCACCATAGCCTGTAGCAGCCAACCAGACATACAGAAACTAATTAAGAAACTCACAAGCAAGACAAATGGAACAAGCAGTAAAGAGATTTCACGAAATCACGATGCTTGAAAAAAGCTACCGACAGGAAGAAGGAACAGAGAGCAAACATTTTTATTGTGAGGTGCGTGAAATGACGATTTTTCGTCTCGAGTTACCGGAGTTCATATCAACTGCATCCATTCATTAGCTAGCGAATCTGCGAGATTGTAGATACTGCTAAGTGTTTTTTTTTATTAGATATTCAGTCAGACTAGCACCCGCCTCTGTTTCAATATCGTAACTAAACATATTTTATTGTTCTCTACAAATCAATACCTTTACGCTCCCTATATTCTAGCCAATATTTTAAAATTCTTATACTTGATGGATCTGATGCAGAGCATTGCGGATGGCAAGAGATATATACTTTTTCCACATTTATATAAACCTTATTTGCGTATTTCCACAGTGAAAAGATTAACGGATTCACAATGATAACTGGCAGTGTGTGTTATTTGATAAATGTAACAAATCTTTATTATAATCTTATTTATATTAGTTATGAAAATTATTGCAATTTTATCAGTAAAATATAATAAAACATTTTTTCCATTTTGTAAATGTACCTTTGCTATGGATATAAATAATCAAATTATTTAACATATGCCAATGACACTTTTATCAAAGATATCGAAACACAAAAATAATACCGTAGCAATAATTTAAAACTACCAAAACACAGAGATAGTCTTCTATTTTTAAAACAGTAGCTCTTAATATTATTACTTACAATAGGAAAAAACACTCAACTCTCACAACTTTAAAATCGATTCACAGCTAAAACAAAAAGAAAAAAGGAAATAAAAAAGTAATCGGTAACATTTTGACTTGACATTATACAGCAATATAATAGAAATTGTACTTTATTTTTCAGGATGGTGGCCTAATGGATGGTGTTATGCAAAAAAGAGTCAACCCGCACAAGTCATTTTGAGATAAATAGATTCAAAGTCTATAATCTGTTGTAAATCATATGCCTTATATAGTATACCTGTGATATATCAGTAAAATTTCGGAATTACTTTTTTTAACACAATTAAAAAAAAACAATTATTTTTGTGTAAAAAACAAACTTCTTTTTGATTTTTAAGTTATACAAGTTTTTTTAAAAACAGAATAACCTGCATACTAATTATAAAACATGTTTTGTTAAGACAAAATATTTGATAGCAGATAATTAAAAGTGTTTCAAATAATTTAAATCCTGTCCATCAGGTGTACATTTTATACTCCAAAACCATCAATACCTTCAATAAAGTACCTTTTCACCTGTTTTCAAGAAACTATAAACTGGTTTTAGATCTTGTGAAACAAGCTTTAATATTCCTTTAAAATCTTTAATTTAGTGGTTTATCTGTTGACCATAACTGCTGATCCAACTCCATATCTTTGAACAATTTCTGCAGTCGCCCTTTTTGTCTACATCTACTATCTGTACGTTTTCTTCTGTTGTGTCTGCTTTCATGTAGAGCAAGAAAGACTCACTCTTTAAAACTTTGATTTCATGAGCCTTGGGCCAATCTACTTTCTCTTTCTCCGAGTCAACTTTACTGTCTGTGATATATTCCAATAGTTTCTCCTCTTTCTATTTTGTTAACAATAAATTTGTTTTTTTTTCTTCAACAATTCTAAATCATTGGGCACAAAGGTATATCCTGGTAGTACGAATCGTCAAGTGATAAAATTACGAGATGGATGGTTAGTTAATGTGTGCATCATTAAAAGTACCTAGATTAATAGTGCGATTTTGACTACCACAACAGTCTGATCACAGAATAAAGTTTTTAAGGCTGTTTTGAGCAGTCAAAGCACACTGCAATTTGAAATGGGCGTATCACTTAGTTTTCTACACTGCTTACGCCAGCCGACTAAGGGGACAGTGGCGCCGGCCCACGGGTAGTTTAACGACAATAAATGCATTATTCTCCATATATTCTCCATGGTGTTTATTTATAATAAATTTAAAATAACATAAAAATATTATCATAAAAAAACACAATTTGTTGTCACAAAGAAATAAACAATTTCACAGTTATAGCGTGAAAATGATTTCAAATCGAACTAACTGACCGTACGTTCATGAGATTTGACGTCACGAAGCCGATAACGCTGGAAGTAAGTGCCAATGATGAGTAACACGTTTCACTATTAGATTTCATTATTTTTTAGCAATTTTCTTCAAAGTTTGAACACGCTTTTCTCCTCGATTATTACTGGACATAGAAAGGTAAAAAAAAAAAATCAACGATTACAGAAAAAAAAAACTCTTTCAAGTGATGGGCGTAAAAAGTTTGGTTATAATAGAACGTTAAACTGCATAATCCGGTATTTCAAAAGAACTTTCAAAAAAATTAAAAAAGTAAAACTACCAGTTTAAAGGCAACATAATTTTGAATAAGGTGTCCAAATTTCGAGACATTTTGTCGGTAAATAACAGAGAAAACACCTCTAGGTTTTGGTGTACCGATAAAACAGCCTTAAACTGGATGGATTAATATGATCTTTCATGTACTTCCTTAAACAGGATGCCGCCGCTTGCGTTTCTCTCCCAACTTTATGTTCATTTTTAAGTACAGTAAATAAAATGTTGACTTTCTATTATTAAGAAAGTTTTACCACTTTCCGCCTGGTTTAGTTTCTTTTTAATATATCAAGTTTAATATTATAAAACTATTAACTAAATAATAGAAGACAACGACGCGACGATTCTCTAACCTGCCTTTTAACTGTTATAGCGACAACAATGTGCGGGTTGATACAGGAATGAGTGTTTATTGAGAAATAGCCGACTGTGTATTGAGTGTGAGTGGTTTTTAGCTTGAATTGAGGGTTAAACGTTTTTTGGTTAATTGTAAGTTGAATATTCAGAAATTGTGGGTTAAAATTTTCACGAAATAACTCTTCAATGTTTTGTGGTTTAACTCCTTTTTGCAGAACACCATCCAAATATTGAATTAAAACTCTGTGTATACAGTGTGTCCAATTAAGTCAGCATTATATGGGAATCGTTTTTATTATTAATTTTACGAACAAAAGATATTCTACATACAACGCTCTGCATGGTCTAAAACCTAAGATGCAGCCATCAGATATCAAATGTTTTCAATAGTATACGAGGTATGTCAAAAATATGAATTTCGGTGAAGAGTAAAGTACCATTATATTTCACAATATTGAAAATTTGTATTATGAAAAGTTACTTGGAATTAAAAACTATGTTTTAATATGTAATTACATCCTTCTAATTAAAAAAAAAATGCAAATTTTTCTCTAATTAGGTACCAATACTAAACATAATTTTTATTTACATTACATTTGCTTATCATTTTTTATCGCAAAGGAAGAGTTATCATATTTTTGTAATAAATAAAATTAATGTTGGGTATTGGTAATTTTGTGAAAAATATGCAAAACATTTTTTTTTCAATTAGAAAGATAAAATTGTATATTATAACAGTTTTTAATACAAAACAACTTTTTTAATAACAATTTTCGATATTGTGAAATATAAAGGTACTTTCCTCTTAAGGTGGTATGTCACAATGTTCAAATTTATATACTTTTTAGGTACAGTTATCGTCACTACTTCAAAACAAATCTTCAACTTATGATTATATATGTAAACTGTTAACTTTCTATTTTAATGATATCTAGTTAACATTTCCAAAGAAAGCAGTATTTTTTTCATAGCTGTACTTAAATGAATCCATACATTAAATGATTAACTATCTACAAACCTTTATTTTAAGCAAGTGTTCGTTATCCATACTGCCGTAATTTTTAAATTAACTGTACCTAAAGATAAAATTACAATTAAAAGCTGCAAACTAGGGATTTTGTTGATGTTACCGTAATAAGTTGGCATTTTGATAGTGAAATTAGTTCAGCAATCACTTAATAGATGAGAAAATAAGTTCACGTGTCATTTAGTAGAAGGCAGCAGTGATGTATTAAATAGCGATAGATGCGCGTTTGCCGAATTTAAGAAAAATCTGCTAAACATTGAAAACTAGTTTTGTGGTTAGATATACTACATAATTGTCTATGAGTTATGCAGTAACCATGGTAACGAATTACGTGGTTTTATTAGCAAAGCGGCCCCTCACCCCTCCCACCAGTTAATATTTTGGCATCGTGTGACTTTCTTTGTTCAATCATGATTGTATAACGGAACAATGTCTTAAATATAAAAGTATACCATTTTTTTCCTTGGCACACTGACGTTATATAATCGTGGTTGAAAGTCAAACTATGGTCAGTAAAGTTTACTACGGTATTATACTGGTTTTTACATAATACATAAACATAAAAACAATTCCAGCTTTATTAAATTTTTAACAAATTTAATTTTTATAGACGAAACAATATTATGTAATGATCGATTAAATTTTGTCGATTAATTATTTTCGGAAGAGAAAAAATATTTACTTGAGTCATAAATAGAAATGAGATGAAAATCTGAAATTTTCTGAGAAAAACACTTCCCCTGTTGACATTCGATATCAAAAAAATTGTTATTGTAGTGACCCTGTTTTTCAACTGATTGAACATATTTTAGATTTCTTATAAATACTGTTTTTATACATAAATAGTCCAATTACCATAATCCCTTTTTTGACCATTATTTACCTATTTTTCAAACAATTGCAAATTTCTTTATCAATTTGGAATAAATATTTTTGGGCAGGTAAATAATTCAGAATTGTCGCCTGAAATGTGAGTAATAAAATACTTTCAAATGAATGAACGTTTTGTGTATACATAGTAGTATAAATGTCAATGTCAAGTAACTATATTTATTTAAAACAATCCCTAATCAGCAGCACATCCAGCTGAGTGCTGGTGGAGGCATTAGTCTAAGGTAATTAAAATTTACGTTTGCGTCTAGGAATGTAGTATCATCTTTCATATTAATAATAATATTAGAATTGCATAGTATGCATAGATACAGTTAGTCGAATTTGTATCTACCGCCAAAGGAAACACACTTGTGTAATTTAATACAAAAGTAAGTTTTTTGTACTTAAAATTTAATTTTGTATTATTTCGAACCCAGAAAACGAAGAACGTATTATTTCTGCGAAAACGCACAACGGTAGTTCGTAGTGCATTTACGAAAATTGCTATTGTTTTGGACAGTTTGTTAGCTGAACTCTGAACCGGTAGACACGCGACCCTGGCAGAAAATTAGCGTAGTGGGAACCCGGAAACTCTTACAAGTAAAGAATACAATGAGTTATGTGAAGTCGAGAGTGCGGTACTTAAAAATATATTCGAAGAAGCTTCCGAAGAAGAGTTAATCAGTGAGATGGAGGCAAAGGATAAATACAGTACAAGGTACTTTAAACTTAAGTACAAATATGATGATAGAACAGACAGACAGATGATAGAATCAGTAACTTCAAAGTCATCAAGTGTGAAGGTAAGCGCAAATTTAAATTACCTCCAATCAAGTTCGAAAATTATTCAGAGATTGCAGTCTAGGTTTGGCAGAGAGGATCTCCAGATTGAAGTTTACATTAGAGAGCTCTTAAAGTTAATTTTAAGTCGAGTTTCTAGTAGTGTCCTTGCAATATTTCTGCTCTTTATGATATGATTGATAGTCAACTTCGTTCACTTGAGACCTTGGACAAAACTGCTGACAAGTTAGGGGCGATATTGTATCCTCTTACTGAGTCATGTCTGCCAGAAGATATTATTCGACTGTGGCATCTTATGTTTTCGTGTCCATGGAAAATATCGGAAAAACTGCAGAAGTTACAACTTTATAAACAAAATTGAGTGGACTAAGGACCTTTTTACAGAGTGAAATTTAAAATGAACAAAATATTGATTTAGCAACGGAAGGTTTTCGTTTACCGGCTGAAAATAAGTATAAATTCAATAGCTTGTTGCCAAGAAAAATGTAAAATTACAAAGAACTGATCTTCTTAGCGTCCGCTGCTGGTTTAATAAATTATAAGGTTTACAGGTGTATATTTTTATTATAAGTAATTTTTTGTACTTGAAATAAATTTAGTTTTTTAATTTAAGAGGAAACAAGACTGATATGCACTATTTAAAATGTTTACAAAACTAAAAAACAACACAAAAAAAATCAAAACAGCAATTGAATTTCAAAGGTAAATGAACAACAACACGATACAAAAATTAAAAAAATATATGGAATGATCCAATCCAAAAGTTAGAATTTGTGAAACTTCAAATAATAGCAATTTCAACTTACATTGAAGAGGGCTGCCGACCGAGAGCAAATTATACCGATTCTACCGATCGTATATTATATTTTAAGTTCCAGTACTTGGCCTCATTGGCAACAATGTCCCTGTTCAGAGAATTAAATTTCGAGAAAATCAAAATATTAAAATATGATGCACGTGCTGCATCTATTAAAAAAAATTGTTAAACGTTAGTTTATTTGAATACCACTCATTTTAACTGCGGCGTGAACATACCCCCTCAAGCGAAATTCATAATTTTTGACATAACCCGTATATTAATAAAATTTGATATCTGATGATTGCATTTTAGGTTTTAAACACGGTGCACTTTGATTTGGCTTGAGTCTTCTTACAAACTCTCTCTGATGATGGGTAGACCCAGAAACACGTGTAAGAGAATGGTAAGAGACTCAAATTAAATCGAAACGCAACCGTCATTTATTTTGTTATTGTCCTTACTCGACGCAATGGGTACAAAAATGATAGTAATTTATATGGGTAAATTGTTGATGCATAGTGGAGTATAAACATTCCCAGCATCGCTCTGAATGGCTTGATTAATCTTTTGGGTATACAGTTTACTTTACTTGCTATCGATATTTAACCTTATTCTACTATTGTTCAGAGCAGTTATAATGCTGTCTAATTCCACGGTATTGAAGGCTTTGTGAAAGTTTACGAAGATAAGTACCAGTGATCTGTTATATTCTATCGATTTTTCTATTAAGGTTTTTACTGTTTGTAGATAATCATTTGTTCCGAATTTTGAGCGGAAGCCAGCTTGTTCTCGGGGCTGGTAGAATTCATACTTTTTTCTAGTATTGTCGCAATTATTCGGGTAAACATTTTTATTATATTTTTTATATAAAAAAAATTATAAAAAATTCAAGGTGTAATCCTACGTAATTAATATATCATAAAATAAGTAACGTCATCTAGTAGTTATCCCGTTACAAATAATAAAGAATAAATAGATTACAGTTTAAAATATTAATCAACCTCTCCCAAGATGTACTTCCATAAGTAATGCATCCAGATGAGGTCTATTTATTTTATTATAATGCCGAACTATGTTATCTTATAATTTTTTCGTTGTGAATTTCACAACCTATAGTTTTCTATTATTTAATAAATAAATTGAACAAAAATCCCCTTTGTATATATTCTTAAAACCATGTTGAAATCTATAAAAGTACATAACGTTTATATTGCTTGATAATGTCGAATAATATATTAATAAAAATAAATACGTACTTTCTGTCAAACAACCGACAGAGCAAAACTTAAACAATTACGACATCGAACTACATGGTAACCTGGGTGATCCCATTTGAGTCAGTACTCGATCTAACCACTGTAACGGTCCGTTTAAGTGTAGCTCTATCCAACAAGGTGTTGACGTTACAGTTTGTCTCCTAAAATATACAAAAAAGTCGAATTAAAAAAATAGTTACAGAAATTCATTCATTCATTGTAAGAACTGTATTTGGATTCAAAATCTAAAGCCGGATTTACACCGATTACTATGTAACTGATATAGAACAAAGCATTAGCGCTATCTTTAACTGTTTATTGTAACTAAATTATATATAATTAAAAATTATTATTATAATATATAATTATATAATATATAATTACTACAGTCTTGGTATGTTACAATATTTTAAATAATTATAAAAGTAAATCATCACCATTTTCTTTGCCTTTATCCCTACGCGAGGTTGGCTTCCCTAATTACATTTTTCCAGAAGTTTCTATCTTGGGTCATATTAATATCAATCCAATTTGGATCCAGAGTTTTAACCTTGCTTAGACAAGGTCGCCTCTTCAAGGAAGGGGTACTCCTTTTTTTTCGGAGTAATGGAGGTGTGACAAAATGTGATGATTGATGTTATATGTGGAGAAGTAGTGGACTACTAAGGAGCTGGGGTTCAGAAGGTGGCGTAATGTGTGGGTTAAGAAGCGCACAAGAGGAATTTAGTTGGGGGAAGCCAAACAGGTCGAAGGAGGTACTTCAGGGGTTACCAACCATATAATATGAACGGCTCTTAATTAGCATTTTTGGCGTGCTGTTGTTAGCTGCGATATTTAATTGTGAATGTTTCTAGTATATCAAAATACTCATCAGGAAGTTCGTGTCCAGTGGTGTGTGTGTGAAGAAGTTAAGCTGGAGGGAACGGAACTTTCCTTTGAGGAAACCTGGTGAGTATTTGCCCTTGGTGATTGCAAGGTGTTTTTAATATTTGCTTTGCTCGATTATTCGAGCCTGTGATGATTCGAAGGACATACCTCCTGCTGAGTGATAGGATTCTGTCCTTAATAGGTGTTATATTTGCCAATATGTTATATGTGTGCTGATGGATAGTGACTGCACTACCTCACGCAGAATCTGAGGATTTTTCTTTTGGTAGCATGATGGCATTGATTTGGTAGGTGTTAAGGGAGGCGTAGACGAATGGCTTGTGTTCGATAATGGGTCTAATGAAGGTTTTACAGTTGTGCAATAATGTTTTAGATGACGTCTTGCATAATTTGCCGGCTAACACTGCCAGGAGTTTGAACCTCCTTCTCACCCTGTCAAGGGTATCTTGAATGTCGGTTTTCCAGTTGACAGTCCTAGTAAAATGAACTCCCAAATAGGAAACCGAGTTTCTGAGAAAAAGGTTATTCGGCCATGGACATCACGACAATTTGAAGATTTAAATAAAATTAATTGTGTTTTGGAGGGATTTATGGTCACTCCCCATTTATTGCACCACCTAATGACTCTGACTAGATAATTTTGTGCTCTTTCGAATACAGAAAATTGTCCACGCTCTATGTGGTCCTAACGTTAGGAGTGCAGTGTCACAATTGTAGACTGTGTATAGTATTGGAGAAAAAATTGAGCCCTGGGGTACTCCAACTTGTGGAGTGAAGGACGTGGATAGGATATCACCGACTTTGATCCTGATCGTCCGATAAGAGAGATAGGAATTTATTAGTTTAACGAAAGGTGTGCGTAATCCAGCTAGATGGAGTCTTTCGACCAAGCCAATATACCAGACCTAATCGAATGCCTTCTGGACGACTAGGAATACGCCTATGATGTGTTTTTTTTCGTTAAGTGATTGTGAGAGAGATTGTTTAGGAATTCTACGAGTCTGTCCTTAAGGATCCTCTCGTAGACTTTACCTAGGGTGCTCAATAGTGAAATAGGTCTATACGATTCAGGGTTGGTAAGGGTTTTCCCTTGTTTGGGAATCATGACTGTGCTGGCCACTTTCAATGAAATTGGAAAATAGCTCAGCGCAAGAGATGCATTGATTATGTTGGTGAGCAACGGGATAATATTCTCTGGAAGATTTTTGAGCCTTTTTCTGTGAATGTCATCAGGGCCAGATGTGTTTTTTCCATCGGGTGAGGATGAGGCACCAAATGTGCCTGAGGATAATAGAATATATCTTCCACTCTCCGTTCGGTTTCTCTTTTGGATCGTTCGCTGAAGTTGGGGTTATTAGGGGAAACGTGGACGGCCTGTAATGTATCTTTGAAGGCTTCGGTCTTGTTTTGTGGATTGTTAAGAATGACGTTGTTAGCTTTGAGATGTGATCGTGGCTGACTTTTTTGCCTAGTGAGAAGATCATGGAAAAAAGCTGCATCCTTTGATGTCCCACCATATGATACAGGTAGACAGATCCTCTTCTTATTTTCGATTGTTACTTTTTGTAACTTCTGTAGTAAATTATGTTCAGAATTAACTTAAACATGAGGATATAAGACATATCAGTCGAACGTTGTTACATTTTTGGCGTTGCAGGATTTAGGGAGGGTAGAAACATATATGTTAGCAAATCTTGTGGAATTTTTAAAAATTTTTATATATTAGTGAAGTTTTTGCAAGGAGATGTAAGTTGTCTTATTCTAAAAGCTTTAAAATTTCAATGTGTATGAAAACCCACCAATGCGTTTTAATTGTATCTCTTTATCACCACATATTTACATAATGCCCATCCTTTTCTGACAAATGGAGACGACACAATCTGAATGAAAACTTATAGAAAATTTTAAGTTAAACCCAATTAAACCCAAATAAAAAAATTCACAAAGCAATCTACTTAATTTTTTTCGGATCAATATTTACTAAATGAATCTTACCTATATTCTGCTCCCCATCCTTTGACAAATGACATTCTTATCGTACACATTCTTGTCAACTGATAAACTGCCTCAAATCCCTGACTAACTGATTGTGATAACAACGCCGCAAATTCCTGATTATTGAAAATTTTTAAATTGCATCCTAAAAATAAAACCATACAATAGTACTTAAATTGTTTCCTTGTGAAATCAAATTAAATATTGCATTCATATGGGATTAAACCACAAATTAATTGTAATTAAAATTTTAAGTTTGTTTTTCACTTTTCGTTTAATTGTTCAATTAATAAACAATAACAGGTTATAACAGGTTAGTGCAAGGTTTATGAGCATCTTGCATTTTGCTAGTGTTAAGATAAGGCGTGCAAATTATATAAACCATCGGATCAATTACACTCCTTTGGGACACGCCATTCCTTATTGGGCTTAAAGTTGTGGTTTTGTCTTGATACATACGTGATACATAGTAAAAAAGTTAAGTAAACCAAGTCCTATGTAAGTATTTCAATTTAATTTAAAACTGGTCAAAATTTTTGGAGATACAATAGCAGAATATGTTCTACCTGGTGAACAAAAGAAAGATACCTGATTTCATATAACTTATATTATATATGTATTTAGAGCAGAGCAGTGCCACGTTTAGGGTAAACTCCTCAATTTTTTTGGTATTCCGTAATAATATATATTTTATTACACAACACAAAAGTATGTATCAATATAAGGTTGAATGTTCGAATAATTAAACTTTGAGGGTATACAAGGCAATATCGAACACGGTGATTAATCTTGCCCAAGTACTTTCGATCAATAGATCATCTTCAGGGGCATCTGAAATAAGCCAAGAAACGTTTTTTATTAAAAAGGAAAATTAATTCACTTGGATAAAAAAACTCCAAGTTTATGGTTGAAAAAAATTTTTTATATGTGATAAACGTTTATAGACTTACTTCGTCAGTTGTGGCCTATCCGACATAGTAGAATGTCATAAATGTAAAATTTGGACATAACAATACAAAATACAATACACTAAGACAAACAAACACTTTAAAATTTATAAGGAGAAGCTACATGTTGTATAGAAGCCGGAGACAGAATGGGCTCCCGGTCTGACGGAAATGTAGAGATGACATGTGACAAATGACAGCTTGTGAAGGGCAGTTATGTGATCTGCACCTTTCAAAATTCTATGACACTAAGTATTGACCAAAGGTCCAACTGACACCACTATAGGAAATCGACTGATGAAATATAAAATTATATAGTATAATTTTTTTATGTAGATTGAATAATCCCAATCTCACACTCAAACCTGTCTATAATAATTAGGATGTTGGTTTGAGAGCAATTGAAGTTGACATAAACTATGAATGTGAGAAAAGACTAACAATATATTAGACAGTGGATGGTTGACTACAATAAAATGGTCCACCAAGCGCTATCAGTACTGTAAAAAAGAAAAATCTGAATATGCAGTTAAATTACTAAAAGTTAAAATCAAAATTGAAGACAAAATATATAAATGTGTTATAGTCCACGTAGTTCAGTTGAATCCACAGTCAATGGAAGAACTTTAAAATTAATATTGAAATGCTCAGTGCATGAAGTCTAAACAGTCGAGCTGGGTCCTCTACGAGGTGAAGCTGTAATAAAGTTTTTAAATATAGGATTAAATTTAGTACAATTTAAATTAATTTGAGTATTAAGACAGTATGTATGTTCAGTAATACCTTTTTGTTCAGATAATTTGTAGATATTTTTTTAGATAGTAAGTTATAATACCGATAATAGACTGATAATTATGCTGTCACTGGGGTAATGTTTACTATTTTTGCTGTTTAAATTCACCTTTCAGCTTTACCTAGTTATAAAGATATTCCATCTAATTGTAGGAATATTTGTTTAATACCTAATTTGTCTAAATCTACAATTTTGTTTTTTGTTCCTATTTTCCTTGTTTGATTTTAATAATGTGTCGACATTCTATAATAACTTTTACCTAGCTGAAGTTTTGAGAAATAAAAATTTTGTAATTTGTTTTAATTATTTATGTATTACTCTCTCATAATCTCCATTTCTCTGGTAACTAATTAGAAGATGAATCTGACAGGAATGTAGAGCGACAATATAAGGTAAGCGTGTTTACTTTTCCTTTTTTTGACTATGTATGCATATTGTTTTTTTTTTAGAGATTTATCCTAGTTTTTTTTTATCCTTCTTAAGCCAATCATCTCATATATCAAGTGTGGAGTTTTCCTCATCCCTCGACAAAGAACTAGGTGGCGCCTTTTATTTTCCCCCTTTCGTTTAGTACTAAATTCTGTCATTTTCATAGGTAAATTTCAATTCCCCAAATTTTTTAAACCATACCCCCATCCCAAATCTATAGACCCACGTCCCAAGGCTCACCGATGTTTCCTTCAACACACCTGAGCGCCGCCAGTTTACAAGGTGAACTAACTTGCACCTGGATTTTCTTCTTCTCTTTCCATCCCCCACTTCCCATCCAGACAAGGTACTTTACAGCTTAACTAGCAAACATACGCTGCTCGGCTCATAGTAGGTCCCCTATTTAATTACAACTAGTAAAATAATTAAATTAAATCTGACATGATTGATATTCAACATAGTCATTTACCACTGCTACATCACATCGTCAATTTATAAAAAAAATTTAAAAATATTACCTGGTGGTATTTTACAAACTGTAGCAGGATGCCAACCATATCTTTGATTACAATTTGGAGATTGTACAAAAATACTGGAATCACTCAAACATTCAGCAAACACTTCTCCACCTATAAAAATATTTATAATTAACATAATTAATCTAACTAGTTTTATTAATTTTATTTACTTTCATCGTTTCTTATAATATATACAACAAAATATGTTAGGAAGTTATATCTAGAAATATTGAAGAGAATATTGCAACTTCAATACACGTGGATATTACTAGGTAAACGCATAAATCTTCGGGTGTTGATACAATACCAACAAATCTTATTATAATAGAAACAGAATACGAATAGACGTGGAAATACTGTAGGCACTTGCACATTTCAAATATAACATAAATAACAGTACTCAGGCAACTGTAACTAATTTCAAATCATCACAATACACTTATTTTAGCATTTAATAACATTTTATTTTTATTCCATAAAAATATATCAATAATTCAAAAAATAGTATTGTTTGGGCGATAATATCAAACAGAATTTAAAAAGTTTACTATAAAAATTAAAATGAGAAATAAGAAAATCAGAAAAACATCACACTTTTGGTAAGATAAAGCCATTAACAATAAGAAACAAAATGTGCCAATTTTGAGTAAAGCGAGATTATTATGATTATAACTAATGTCATACCGCTATACTATAAACAATAGTAAACTGATGTTGCAATTAAAATAACTTACCTATATAATACAGTCTTACTCCCTTTCCTATATGCCGTCTAGTTTGTTCTACTACTGTATTACGATTTACGTTTGACAGCAAGCCCAAACAAAATCTGCAAATAAAAGTTATTATATGAAAGGCGAAAAAATCTTTATCAGTGCAAAAATATGCATCTAAAAAGATCAAAAATAAATTGGAAGTCAACAAAAATTTTCACCGAAAGTGAAAAATGTTTCTGACCGAAAGTTAATCAAGACATGTTTTTAGAAGAAATTTTGCAAGCGTACTTATTGTCAAAATAAGTGTACCTATTAACGTTTGTGATTTACATACTGTAAGGTGTTCTAGAAGGATGTATATTGTCACTTCTTACACATACATGTTAAGGCTGTTTTATCAGTGTACCAAAACCTAGGGACTGTTATTTACCGACAAAATGTCTCGAAATTTGGACACAATATTCGAAATTATGTTGCTTTTAAAATGATGGTTTTATTTTTTTTTTATTTTTTTGAAACTTCTGTTGAAAAATTGGATTATACTGTTTATCGTTCTATTATAACCAAAATTTTTACGACCATCACTTGAAAGTTTGTGTTAAAACTAATTTGAATGGAGAGTAATGCATTTGTTGTCATTAAACTACCCGTCGGCTGCGCCACTGAGTAAAGATAGTCTCGCGTAAGCAGTGTAGAAAAGTAAGTGATACGCTCATTTCAAATCGCAGTGTGCTTGAACTGCTAAAACAACCTTAAATAACATGTACTCAGAGGCAATTTTCTAAGAATCACTAGAATACACGAAAACACGAGTAGTTTTAAATGGCGTATGAGTAAACAATATAAGATATGTCGACGACAAGGATTACAGCTTTTAATGAACAAAGTAGCCGAAATTAGTAAGAAGTATGACCTAGAAGTTAACATAAAAAAAAACTACTCATTATAATTGGCAAAGCAAGAATTCGAGAAGAACAATTTACCATTAATGAGAAAATATTAAAATGATTGTCAATATACACTAATTTAGATACAACATTAAATGAACAGTGGGACCATTTCCAGGAATTAAAATCAACAATTTAAAAAGCCAGAGCCGCTTTCCTCCTACTGTCCAATTATTTAAAACACATTATTTGAATTTGAAATTAAAACTCAGAATGCTCCGATGTTACATATTCTCAATATTGTTTAATGGAGTACAGTCTTGGATTTTGACCAAAGGAATAATAAAGGGGCTGGAAAAATTTGAGATCTGAACTTATAAGAATTCTTAAAATTTTATGCATGGACAAAATAGCAAACAAGAAGTACTATAAAAACTTATTAAAGAAAAAGAAATAATTTACTCAGAAAAACATCGCAAATTGGACTATTTGGATCGCATAAAGAGGTTTCATTATAAAGAAAAAATCAGCGGAAAATTTCTATGGGTAGAAGGCAGTATTCCTAGCTCAGGATTTCCTCCTGCCGATGGCCAGTAAAACATCTTTCCAAATCTTCAGAGCTGCTGTTTCATATATGTATAACTATAGCAAATTTGATCGCCAGATTTCAAATGAAATGACACAATAAGATCATTGTATAAATAAAAAAATATACCTTTCAGAATTGCTGGGATCTGTGAAACCATCTACAGTTATTGAAGGTTGACTTGCATGAAAGGTCTCTCCTACCCTTGTATTCAGTTCGTAGTAACTGATACTGCACCAGAAAGCTGGTTCACAGTAAAGCACTGGTTGAGCATCAACTGGAGGACTAGGGGTGATTCTTGACATACCTGAAACAAATATCTATAGTTCAAGACATTTACGTTAACTACATATGTTATTGAATTAAGACTTTTAAATTAGTATTTTTATCATTTATGAAATAAATAAATTATACTTACTCATGTTGTCATTTGGATCAATAGGATCTCCGTCTTCTGACATATATCCTGGAGGGGGTGTTTCTGTTGGAGGAACTACACTGTGAGGTGATTCCATATTTGTTGGAGTAGGACATATGCCTACAGTATCCATGTAAGTGGTGGGGTGCTGCAGGTGCAATCTAACAAATAAATCAAGAGTTACATTCTTCATTTAATTATTAGATAATAAACTAACCACAAACATTAACTGTTTGGTGAAAATATAACAATAAATAAATATTTAATATTACTTACCCTACTAATGTATTAGTATTGTGGTGAGGAAAAGAAGTATTCTCTGGAACCGAAGTGCTCAGGTCCTCAAGAGAATGGGGAAATAAATTATTTTCATCACCTAATGTATGACGAGGTACTAAAATTGCAGGTAGTGCTGAAAATAAATACTATTAGTGAAATGAAAATAAATACTATTAGTCATAAAAATGAGAGAAGATAGATGATTTTAAAATTGAAATACTAGAGATGTGATGTTAACATAATGTTTATAATTCTATTTTTCATAAAATATGCAAAGGTGAATGTTATCATGACTCAATCAAGTCAATCTCAACAGAACTAAACGAATATTGTACAAAAAGCATTTGTAAAGATAGCGCCAAAAATTTTCTATCCAACAAATTCTTGCTCCATGGCGGACAGTTAGTCTCTGAAACAGCCAATCTGAAATATAAAATTCAATAAGGGTTTAAGAAAATAAAAACCCTTATGTGATATTTTACCAGAAAAACTGAAAATTAAAAAAAAAACAAAATGACGGCCATTAATAAAAACCAATCAAAATTAACCGTTTTTGAATTTTTGTCTGACACAAAAATTTTGTTTTTTTTTTGGTCAAATTCTGGTAAACTGTCATAGAGAAAACCAAAACTAAAAAAATACATCATGGTTTATTAAAATCGGCGGACTAGATACAGCGATAACTGTCAGCTCAGTTTAAAAAAAAAATAGTTTTTCTCAAAATTTAGTTTATCTAAACCTAGCTTATCTAGTTGGTCGATTTAATAAATTTGATGCATTTTGTTCCTTTTGGTTTTCTCTTTAATAATTTACCACAATTTGACCAAAAAACAAACAATAAAATTTTTGTGACTGAAAAAAAGTCTAAAAGAGGTCAATCTTTAAACACTTTTTTGATACATAATATGGCATTTTGTTTTTTTTTAAGTATTTAAATTTTTTTGGTAAACTATCACATAAGGGTATTTCTTTTTAACCCTTCTCGAATTTTATACTTCATCCAGAGATTAACTGTGCTATGGAGCAGTAATTTTCTGAAGAAGAATTTTTGGCGTTATTTTTAAAATATAAGAAAAAATGGAAAAAAAAATTGGTAACCTTAACAAGTTGCATAATATTTTATAATATAAAATAAGTCTAAATGCCATAGGTATCTAATAAATAAGATACAAATAAAATTGTTGAAAACTTGCCATTTTTTAGCATTCTATAGGTAATATTACCTTAAGGTATAGAGACTGACTGATTATTTATTTTACAACAAATTTGTAAAATAAATAAATAATCACAGCCAGTCTCTATGTTCCCATTTACGCCAATATGTTAACATTAAGTTAACGTTTCTAGAATACCAGCATTTATGACTTGGACCACTCTGGGTTTCAACGGCTCAAATATTGACACAAGTATAATCGCAGTTTGTAAGGCTGACAAACTGAATGCAGCTAAAAGTAATGTCGAGATTACTGACTGTTGAAATGTACACTATACTGTGCCAAAAGATTCCAGTTTAGTTGGATGGAGAGAACAGATAAAGAGAACTGTGGAAGATATGCTGTTGTGCATCATACTTGTTGGAGAACTATAATCTCCAACCACATAATTCTATTTCATAACTAATAAATATATTTCCACGCCGCCTCTGATACACAGATAAATTCCATATCACAATGTGCATACTTGTTTCGTATAAAATGTTACTCTCCGCCCATTTAACCTTAGATCAGCCAATCATTCAAATGCAAAGATGGGTATTATGGAGGGCTAGCGACGACAGTGAACTAGCAACATTCGTAGGGTACAGACCTATTAATTTTCAGAGTCATTCTTCATGCTCAAAGTTATGTAAAATAAACTGGGACCGTAATGTGAAGAATTCGTTATGGCGTTTTCGGAAGTTTGGTAAACTGTATATATTTTCTAATTAGGGAAAACATTCCTTACGATAGTTATTCACTCACTGTTAATAATATAAGCTTCTATTTCTAGTCCTTTTTCAAGTTTCATTACAGTTCTAGTTAAAAACGCAAGCGTTTTATTTTATTTTATCAATCTATTCAACAGCCAGGTTACAGCACATTTGAAGAGTCCATCAGAGTTTCTCTACTGAGCATTCGAAGGCTAGCAGAACAATGGGCTTACAGCAATTGCAAACCGCTGAAAGATACACTGATATCATTCAAGACTCTTCCTAAAGGGGCGTTGAAAACTGGCACTCCTTCAATACTATTAATTAACATTACTAAAAGTAATGTTGAGGTTACTGACTGTTGAAATGTACACTATAAATGTGCCAAAAGATTCCAGTTTAGTTGGATGGAGAGAATAGATAAAGAGAACTGTGGAAGATATTATGCTGTTTTTGTGCATCATACTATTAGGTGAAGATTCTGTTGGCCTAGTGTGACTCGCACACCACAGGTTATTAACGCTGTTGCTATATCTTGCATTAAAATAAAAAATCGTGGCTCAGGAATTGAATATTGTGCCAAGTAAGCAGTTTATTTTTAATGTAGTGTTTTAAAAAAGTAATTTAAGGACAATTTTCATTATGGACAGAAAAGGTGATTTTTCACCACATAAAAAAGCTGAAGTGAAGACCCATGTAATTGGAAAAACATTTACAAACCAAGAAATATCATGAAGATTGGTTGTTTCTGAAGGTAGATTACTCTGCATAGAAAAAAAATTGAGTCAGGGGATTTATTAAGCCCGAAAAGAAAGCAAAAATGCAATAGAAAACCAATTTTCACTCCACAGTCAGAGAGACGTTTGAACAAAATTTGACCAAATCTCACCAAAGTGATGATTTGGTCAGTCATCAGCTACAAGGGCACTGATATTGGTATAAATTTAAATGGGGAGAAACATTGGTATTTACAATTGGTTTATACATTGTTCTGAAGCTATTTTCTTGTGGCATTTTAAATTAATTACATTTTAACTGGGAATAAGCCACAATTAAAGATAAAAATATGTTTATTGACGTTTCAATTTCCACTTCGGAAATCGTTCTCAAAATACAAACAGTAAATTGACTGTATTTTGAGAAAGATTTCCGAAGTGGAAATTGAAATGTCAATAAACATATTTTTATCTTTAATCGTGGCTTATTCCAGTTAAATAGTAATTGGTTTATACATTTTATATAATTAAGGCTATTTCATGTTTTGATAACATTTTCCTCTTCATAATTTTCAATTTCCTACTTTTTATAAACTTTTTAAATTTTTTTTTAATATCAGATTTTTGTATGTTTTTGTAATAAAAAACAGTCAAATTTTGCCTTTTTTTTAAATTTCCTGTCTAAGTTAGATTGGCATTTTTAGCAACCCTTACTAATGTAAACAAATACTGATACAGTTAGTGACAGGGACAACAGGATAAGAAATATATGAATTTAGTGTGGAAAACAGGGGAAGAAATATAAGAACTTAGTGTAAGTTGGTACTTATAGAGAAACGAGGAAGTCTTAAGAAAGGCAAATACTGAGAGAGAACTACTCAATTTGATCAAAGTACGAAAAATATGATAACTCAGCCATATTCTGAGAGGAAAAAATATGCAATCCCTCAACTAATCATCCAGGGAAAGATTGAAGGCAAGAGAGGAGTAGGTCGCAAACAAATGCCGTAGCTATGGAACATAAAAAACTGGACAGGCATAAATAACATTGGCAATCTTTTGCCACAAAAGACAGATGTCTAGCCTTAAGATAATTCACCAACGCACTATAAGAAGAAAAAGTACTTATATAAATTTTTCTACTTAAAAATCTACAAAGCCCAATTATATAAAAGTAACAAATTGTATATAAGCAAATCTAAATAAGACATCTTACCTGGGGTCTCAATTCTTGTGTAATGGTATGGATTAACACAAACCTCCTCCTTTTTTAAAGCATACCCATATTCACAATGATCTAAAGACCTTAGCTCATGGTGTGACTGAAGTTCAGGCCACCTCCATAAACGACAATAAATAACATGAGGTAATCCCTTACGCTGTTGCTGCAGGTTCCCTATCTCTGCATTGGGACGGACCCTACAAATTGAATAACCAATCAATTAAAAATTAAGAAACGTCAACAAGCTTTACCATACTATGTTTCTGTTTCAAAAGATTTGAAACACAATAATTGGATATCTACTATGTCCAGCTCTCAAGGTAGATAAAATCATAGATATATTGGCAAATATTTTGTTTCAATTTTTGGTATTTCAACTGATTTTTAATTATTTTTGATGTTTGATCATTTGATCAGTGTTAAAAGTAATAGTAGAGTAGGAGTAATAATTTCATAAGCAGTAGGAGACGTAGAAAATGTATTACACAATGCTGGAGCAACTGATACTGATTATATTGAAGACTAAGTATTGAACAATAGTTAAATAAACTACAAACATAAAAAAATATTATGGAAAAGGGGATTTACAGTGATATAAAAATCTAGTGAAGTGATAAAGAATCTAAAAATATGAAAATTAAATTAGGGTACATATAAATAATTTTTTAACATGGGAAAACTTGAATGAAGCTGAAATTCCATATCACAGCAGGGAATATCCTATTAACAATAAAAACACTTGACAGCTACATATTTTTCCCAATCACTTTAAATAATATAAGTAATTTGCCCAAAATTAAATTTTATTTGTTCTTTAATTGTTTCCAAGGCTAATGAGTCATAAATATTTAATTTTGTATTAATATTCTAAATGCTTATGTAGAACTATTATTACTAAATGAAATTAATAAAACAGAGACTAATTATTAGTTAATTCGCATTAGCAAAACAACAAAAACCATTTCAATTTCAAGGAAGTGGTGCAAGTTTAGATCAAGGTCCAGGACATTTGGCAGACATTTAGGGTAGGTCACAAGCCAGACATAGTGAGGTGAGGGGGAAGCAAATCCATAATATGTAATGATGAGAACAATCGAATGATTTCCGCTATCGAATGTCCGTTCAGTGAACTACAGCAATGATCGATTATTTGTTTTGGAATGTTTTTCACATGAAAAAATAACATTTTCAAAGTGAACTGGAATAAACCAGATGTTTGAATTGATTATTTTTCAATCGCCATGCCTAATGCACCGTCATAACTCGCAACAGCTAATAAACAAAAATATATTGTTCTCAATTTCATTTATTTCTATAGTGAAAACTATTGTTTGTTTTTAATTTTAAAATAATTTAAGTTTAAATAAGTATAAATTATTGGAACAGTTCGTAAATGTCAGATTATTCGATAGTTCTTATCGAAATATTCGATAGTGTCTATTCGATGGTTTCTATTACTAAATTATATGACCTTAAACTTTATTTAGCAACTAAAAGAAAAACATTTGAAGTAGGCTCACCTGGGTATAGTTACACACTTAGTATTGGGATTTTGAGATGAAATAGCGCGTTCTAACTCCTCCAATGCACCTGACTTTTTTAATTTTTTCACCAAACTTTTTACTGCTTTCTCACACCATTTGTCATCGGCGTCTGTGCCTTTTTTCCAGCCTAACAGTCGTTTAACCACCGGTGGTGTAAAAGAAGGTAACATTCCGTTCATCACAAAACTTCATTAAAACTGAACTTGATTAATACACAAAAAATCTTTTAATAATTCAAAAATATTTATAAAATTCTATTGCTCATCAATGAGCGATTGCCATATTGTTTTTTGACAGATGAACGTCGGTAATTTGGGCATCGTCCAATGCTGCCACGTTTAAATGCTAAAAATATGGACAGTCCATCCAAAGAAAGAATGATTTTTATTTACAATCAAAAAATAAAACTTGCTTTAATTTATTCAAATGCAAATATTGATGATGTATTATCTAATCTCAATATAATAAAACCAATATTATTGGTTACAAAAATCAATTGTGTACAGTTGAACTGGGCCAATATCTATTATAAAAGAATATAAAAATATTCAAAAGATCTGAAACTGTTTTCTTGTGACATGTTTTTAGATCAAATTGGTAATATAGCACCCAACTCCTAAATATTTACAGATTAACATCATTTTAATTTCATTTTGTTATGAGAATTATTATAAACCATATTAAAAATAATATTTTACAAATGTTGTTTTTCCTCATATTAGAAAAATTTCAATATTAGAGAATAAAATATATGATAGAAAATTATTTTAAAAACAGATTATTTGTCAAATATCTAATAAAAGAAAATTATAATAAATATTTACAAATATAAAAAGCAACTGATATAATTAATAATACAATAAATGAAATTTATCCATCCTGATATATTTTCCTATCATGGGACGTGTACCTTACTATGGCATAATCTATGAATACTTTTCTATATATTGTTAAATTGAATATCATGTTCACTAAATACAGTTAAACAGGAAATGAGGGAATATTAAAAATTTAAAAACTTTGTTTACAAAAACGAAAGGTCTCCTGAGAATTTGTTGACAGCGGCAATACTGTAACTCTCTGATGCAATCTGCGACATCTGAAAAAACACTATCTTTTATTTTTGGCAAGAATTTGGCATCTTCTGTCTTTTACTAACCCTATATCAATATACATCCAGAATCACACAGGCTTGTTTTTATGTTATTCTCAGCAAAATATGATTTTTTTACATAAGAACCCTTGAATAGAAATTACTGTAAATTTTCTTTAGTTAAAAAAAGTAGTTTTGTTAAATTTTGAAGGAACTAACATAAATATTTTACCCCAAAAGTTTAGATTTTTGATTATTAAAAATTATGAATTCCTTTTAATTTAATTAATTTTTAAGGTAATTTTATTTAATGTATAAAATAATCTTTTAGGTCCCATAATTTTTTATACCTCTTAAAATTTATGAAATAATTTACTGATTTTACTGATACAGGCAGTTTTCCGTATCTAACTGATAAACAAAAAGTAATAGAAGAAGAAAAGATGAATAGATTAACCTAATTCATGTCAAGTTTGACATTAGGTTTGTTTTCAAACTAAATAATAACAAACTAATACATGATAAAATTAAAGTAGAGAATATAAACCTACCGTAAAACAAAAAAATTGAATAGTTAATTAATTAAAGATGGAGCATCAACCAAATATTTATAGAAAGATGCTAGCAGCAGCGGTTTCCAGTATTTTATTAGAATATGGTGTTGACACTGTGGATAAAGAATGTTTAGGAACTCTTACTGAAATGATGCAAGCTTGTAAGTTTATAATTTTGGAATCCTAATGTTCTATTCTACTTCGTAATACTAGTCAGAATTCATGAGTCAAATATATATATTCAGTTAATCTATGTGAAGATTTATGCATTTCAGATTAACCATTAGCACTGAGTTAGTTGCCCTGATAAAATGTATATTTGCAAGCCAGTGTTATTAGTAAGTCTGGTAAGATATCAGCAATTGTACTATTAGTCTATACTACATAATATACCAATTTGTGTCTCGTTAGCTTGGTTGAAACTTTCCCAATCACTTTTTTGTATTTCATAAACTAGTTATTTGGGAATTGGTCCTGGCATTTCCAAGGCATTTTATGAAAGCACCAGATTAGCTACATGCTGTGCCACCATCCACTTGTAGTGTGTGATCATCTGTTACTTTTTTTTACCAATTTAATGGTCTATTGTATTATATGTGACACTCTTCTTCTTGTGATTCATTCCTCTATCAGAGGTTGATTATCATTAAATGTATTCATATTTATTGGAAGGCATTCTGAAAAGTTCTACTGAGCTGCAATTATACCACTCTAGAAGGTTGTTTTGCTAGAAAATTCTTCTGCAGCCTATGCTCCTTTTACCCTTAATCTTTTCTTGTATAAGTTTAGTATTTCATACTTATCACCACATTAAGTCCTAAATATTCTACTTTTTTCAATGTAATATTTCATATGACTTCTCAATCCTTTTGGAACCCATCTCAGCACTTCAGCATTTGTAATTTGTTAAATTATCCACATGTAGCACCACATTACAAATGCTTCCAAAATCTTTATGTTATATTTTTAGTTCCCAACTTACCATACCTTACAACAAATTAGAGAATATGTAACACCTTAGGGCTCTTATATGCAAAGCCATAGTTCTGTTACTATACTAGAGCCCAAAATAACATTATATATTTTTTTATTCTATGGTTTCATTAAAGTCCATAATACATTCATCATAATCAAATATTCAATCTGAAATGTTAATAAATTATTCATTTTCATCTTTTTTTTACTGCATTATTACATACAAAATTGTCCTGTACTTAAGTAATATGTTGTACAATTTACAATAATTTCCTACTTGAGATCAAACTTAGATACAGTTTTACTAAAATGTTTTTTAGTTATAACAGAGCTTGCTTCAATGTCTAGAAATTACTGTGAACTCTCCGGACGTGTAGATCCAGTCTTAGGTGATATAGTTTTAGGATTTGTAGAAATGGGTAAGTTTGGAAAATATTCATATCAAATTTTAATACTCATGACAATGACTCCTATCTAGCAAGTGATTGGTCGCGCTTAGAAGAATATGTAAAATGCCTACAAGCACTTTTAATTCTCTTAGCAACAGATTCCACTGCAAACAAATAATTCGATTTTGTATATTCCAATTGGCGTTTTGAACACATAATTCAAAAACAACAATAAGTGCTTATGGCAACTTATGGGATTTAAAGGGAAAGCAATTTATTAGGTGCAATTAAGACTGTATAAATAAATACTCATAGTATGTCTTTTCATTGGCAATTCAGTGTTTCTTTTGAAGATTCTGAGATGTTATGCAAGTGTACCTATATAAAAACTTTTATTCGAATATTTAAATGTAAGACACTGAATTAAAGCCTTATACAGGATGGAATTTGAAATATGTGAATTAAAACCCACAAGGAAAATGAAATTTCTGTAGTTGGCTTTATACCATTTAGACCATGAATCACAATTTTTTTCCTTTCCTGAGTTACTATGCATTGAATCTGTTTAAAACTTCAACATCATTTGAACTTATCAACAAATATGTAATAATTAACACATTTAATATCATTTAAAGGGTTTTTACCCACATATTTAGTAGCTTCACTCATGTATATCTGGACACTGCACTGAAAATGGACATATTAGTCCAAAAACGTTCAGTGATGTAGCATGAAAGGTTTTTTTCTTTAATTAAAACCTTATACAGAACGAGACAATAAAAATGCTACAAGACTACTTACTCAGACACAGTCTTAGCAGACATTAATAGCGACAAAACTTTGTCAAACATAACAAGAGACAAATCGTGGTAAGTTTTGTACAAATTAGACTTCATTTGGAATAAGCACCATAAAAAATCTGTGCTTATAGAAAAACAAGAAACAGTTTGTTGGCGATATTTAAGAGAAATACGAATACTGAGAAGGGGAGGCACTCATATTTTTTATCTAGATCAAACATAGATTAATGAATGAAATTTTCTAACAAAAGTTTGACAAGATAAACAGATTATAAATGTTTATATAAGGTTGAATAATAAAAATACAGAGACAGAGAAAGTTTCGCCATGTTAATCGCCAATGTCAAGGGGACTTGATAGGGCACGTTAAGAAGAAGAATAAAAATAACGAAAGATCTAGGTGAAACACTGTGTATAATATAATCTACATATCAGGAAGCATTTTATGTATCATATAATACCATCAACTTTTATTATCTACATTTTATATTTTGGAAATAAAGCTCAATGATTTTAAAATTTAATTTCTTTTTAAGGTTTTAATTTTAACACATTGGAAAGTTATGTTAAAGGTTCCAATCATAGTATTTTGCCTTCTCTTCAACAACAACAACCTCAAAAACAGTTGAATATGTTAGCAGCTGGTAGCAAACAACCATTACCATCTCATATTCCCCAGCATTTTCCACCGTTTCCAGATCCACATGCTTATGTTAGAACTCCTGTAAGTATACATTTTGCTCATAAAAATATCTAATTGTTATTTCCAAGCTATAAATATAAATAATACTGACAACACCATTATAAAGACAGGCAATTTTAGATGGGTATTAAAACTTACTCATTAATTAACATCAATGGAAAATATAAACAAATTATCAAAGTATTATAGCGTGTTTAAAATAACATGAGTGGTTGTATTTTATTTAAACCATTCATTTATAAGCTTATAGCACAAAATTATCTTTTCGACTATCTCCTAATATATAATATATAGCATAAAATATATACCATGCACTGAAATATGTATTACCCTTCTATTAACTTATTTATTTCATTATTAACTTATATATTTATAACATAACGGCTGGACAGGTCGTTTTTGAAAATAATCATAGTATATTAATTAAGGCATCAATGTTTTGAACTTTATGCAAATGCTCTTCAAGTGACAGTCATAACTTCAATTTTGTTAAATAGAAAAGTACCATCATGTGACACCTCATTTAATAGCTTTTAAAATACTGATTTCAAAAATGTATAATAATTTGGTTCGAAAATTATGCGAGAATATCGCTGGTGACCTGGCAATACCTCCTAAGTGATGTCAAACACTTTTTTCAGGAGAAACAAAAAACTGATTAAACCGTTACTATAAGGACTTTTTTATTATTTTTTAAGTCAGTGGTTTTAATAATATAAGCTTTAACGTTGTTTTGAAATAAAATAGTACAATTGTTAAATTATGTATTTATTAGGACACTTAGGATATATTGATTCTTAAATATTGTCAAATAGGATATTTTACAACACTTTATTTTACCTATAGGAGAAAATGATATAATAAAAAACATTGCTAACTTTTCTTTTCAAACTTAAAAAATTATTTCTTACAACTTAAAACAAAACAAAAAATAAAAAAAAGTTTGTTTTAGGGTATTTTGTTAAATATGCACATATATTTTTTAAAATAATGATTCGGAACTGCAAAATTATTCATGTAAAAGTGCATCGTAAAATGCATGCGTATCTTTGGGAAGAACTGATTTTAACTCCTGAAATTGCATGCTTATGTGGGATATTCCAATATTGTTGGCATAGTTTTTGGTCTACATGGGAGTTCTTTGTATTCATCCTCATAATCTAATTTTACTCTTATAGTGCCGCATGGATCATATTGAATACTCTTGATGTCATTAATTACTGGATCGTTGGTTTTTCTTCCAGGCCTAATAGAAGAGTATCTTAAATACTTAGAGGAGGAGAAATCTTTGAAAAATGAAGATTCCAGCAGTCGAGTTCTGTAAGGGGCAGGCGTCTTTCTCGCTTCCTTCGTTACTGACTCATAATCGCTAGGCAAATGGATTTCTCTATGCCTAAGAGATCTTTCTATAACGCTGTGTACCGAATCACACTCCATCTGAGTGTGACCCGGCTCAAGAAATTTTTGGTATACAAAAATATTGTATCTCATAGCAAAATTTAATAGTGCATTAGCTAAAACACTGTTTCTGTTTTAGAATCAGTCAAGCAATATGTCTGCAAGTAATGCATAATGCAACTTGTGAATGTTGATGCTTTCATTATATTATTCTGATCTTCAGAGAACCAGTAACAGAGAGCATCTTTTGTCCTAAGGTCATAGACTGTAAAATTGTGACAACAGAGCTTTGTTTTGAAATAGATTTTATTAGCGGGAAGAAAAGGACATAACTTGACTGCCTGCAGATCCATTGTAATGACTATTAGATTGCCTTTTTCCGCTTCCTCTTTATCAGTATTCTTAGCTTGTCTCGCAAGATCTTTCCTTTTTATATGCAACTGATATTCGTCTTCGGAAATATTTCCATATTTAAACGAAAAACAAGTATTACACTGGTCTTTTTTCGGCTTGTATAGTGACAAGTTCTTCTCTTTAAACTTCTTAGAAAAAACATTTCTTCCCAATGGAGTTACTTTTTTGTCGTTGAAAAGTTATGATAGTAGACACTGTAAAGGTGAGCCATGTTTTGAAAGGTGTTTTCCAGGTACAGTTTAAGAGTATCTCGACGACAGTAATGAGATGGAAGTTTGGGTAATGATTCAAAAAAGTTATTTAATAATCCGTAGTCCGTATCGAATCTCCTTCTTACGTATTCCTTGGTGTTTATACTTGTAGAAGCTTCTTTACTCATTCCAAATTTGCTGTTGTCGATCCAAGCTTGAACCGTTTTGTAACCAAGATCTAGTGTATTTAAGAACATGGTACGACAAACTTCAAGATTTTCGTTTGCATCGTTTAAATAATAATGATATGTGCCTAATCTCCTGGAATTCTCTTTGGTTTTTGTACGAGTTGGAACTTTTATAACATGTGATGCGACGAAAACTTTACGCTGATCCCAATTCAGATCATTCCAAAACTTTTCAAAAATAGCTGCCCTACATTCTTCAGATATTTCCGCGCAAAACCTAACTTTAGAGTTTTTACATTTCTTTGAATTACATGTTTCTTTAATGCTTCTCCTATTTTTTGGGCAATTTTGTCTCATTTTCTCTCCTTTATTTTTACTAAATCCAAGATAAGGTTTTCCTTTCATCCTTAACCTTTTGTTTATATTTCTTATCCATAATGATGGATCAGGAATGCTTTTTCTCTTTCTAGCTTCATTATTTTGAGTCTCAACCAATACTTCTTCATTGTCAATATCAGGATGATTGAATTTTTTATCCATTGAATCATTATTCGTTCCAGAACTTGCCTTGGACTCTGAGCTAATGGATTCTTCTTCACTTGGGACATAGTCGTCGGTGTCAGGTCCACTATCCTGTTCATCTTCGCTCGAAATTTCGTAAGGTACAAGGCTTCTTACCAAAAATGGTTTAGAACTGCAAAAAATAAAAAAAATGGTGGTATTACTAGCTATTTGTAATGTTAAAATTAAATCAAATTGGTATATTTTTAAAGGTATGTGGGGCAATAGAACACTTAAATTATAAAAAAAATCTGGACAGACATTTAATTTAATTTTTCGAATACCCCACATGCCGTTAAAACTGCAGGCTTTTTTATACTGACTTACTTGTGACTGTTGTCTTGATTAATAGATTGCAAAATATCACAGGCCGTACTGTTTTCAGTCTCAGTCATAAGGTACTCCGTTTGGTCACATGAAGTGTTAATTATTTTTGGCGATAACTGACTATCCGCTAAAATTTCACTAATGGAGAAAGCATCAAGAACTTTATCTTCAATGATATTATTATCATTCTCCAATTCAGTACTATCCATTAAATAAATTGGCATATTTTCTAAGTAAAAAAATTCTGAGTTTAAATTCGTATTTTCTTCAAACTCGATGGCAGTATTTTGTACGTTATCATCATTAAAACCCTTTTGCAGATCAGGGTTTTCATTTTCTTTGTTGGATACCATTGATACCATAAGTTTGGTTCTATTTGAGATCATGTTCCTAAAAGCAAAAAAAAAAAAATACTTGTAAAGTAATATAAAATTACCAAATATTTATTTAAAATTGTATTTAAAATAATGAATGCAAAGTCTCCTATTTAAGTTTTAATTTTTTTTAATGGCAATTACTCCTATCTGAATTAAATAGCTGAAACATCGTTCTAGTTTCAATAAAATTAAGTAATGTGTCTAAAATTCCTTTATCATAACTAAATAAACACACATGTTGAATAATCAATTGAAATACTTACGCAGTTAGTATGATTTTCGCTATAAAACGTCAGACAAGTCCAAGCACGTCCGTAGCACATAACTTTACCACACAAACTAGTTAGATAGGATAATTTGCGTCTTGTTTATTTGCTCTAGTCAGGTAGGAGATTTTTCAATAGCGATTTTTAGGCTTTCAGCTTAATCGTATAAATACTAGATTTTAAACAAAGGTGTATCTTTATGCTACGTGTTTAAATCTGTAAAAATCTCATTTTTGGCAAAAATGGCAGATAGTAGGTATTGTCAGGTCACCCGCGATATACAGAATCTAAATTATGAGAGAAAGAGTTTGAATGTACCTACGTACGTCTAGATCTGACAAAAAAAGGTATCTAATGGCCTTCTTTCGTTGCATATCAACTAGGTTATTTTTTGACAGCTATCATAAACATAGATAAATAATATAATATTAGAAAAATCATAAATAGTATTAATAACTTTAGTTTTGTTGCTATTTTAAAAGAAATTTATTTATTGTGAATTTTTAAAATGGTACAAACTTGTAAATGCGAAATGATCACAATTTATGGTGGAGCTTGCTGAAATTACCATGAGTCAGTAAAAATTTTTAATAAACGCAATCCTGACTGTCCAATAGACAGGCACTATTTTAAGTCAGTTGTAATCAAATTTTTTGAGATAAGACTTCAAAATAAGAAACGGACAGGAAGAAAACGTCTATCCGAAAATAAACAAATTTCTGTATTAAGTTAGTTTGTCGTTAATCTGTCTACTTCTACTAAAACTATTGCGCACATTTGTGAAGTAGATCAGAAAACAATTTTAAAGATTCTGAATAGAAATAAATTTCATCCTTACAAAATAAAAATGGTTCAAGAATTAACAGAGGATGACCCTGATAGACGGATGGAATATTGCGAAACCATAACAAATAATATTGCACAGAATCCTAATAATCTCCAACATATTTGTTTTAGCGACAAAGCGACATTTTTTTTTGAATGGTCACGTTCATCGTTAAAATGTTAGATATTGGTCTGATGAAAATTCCAGATTATTTCTGGTAAAATCTGGTAGGTCGTTAATAAAAATTAGGAATAATAATGGTCTCAGCACGGATCCCTGTGGTACTCCTTTATTTGTCGTGTATGGTTCTGAGCTTGATTCTTTCATTTTAACAACACTCTTCTTAAGAAATTTATTACCCATTCTAGAAATATCCGTCTAAAACCAACGTTATATAATTTATTGCGAATAAATGTTATGTCCAAGCAGTCAAAAGCTCGTGATAGATAAAAAAATAGTCTTGCCACGTGGTTTCTACTATCTAATTTATCATAAATACGCTCAAACAAGCTGCATGCAGCCGTGAGTGTTGACGTTTTTGATCTAAAGCTGTGTTGGTTCGGATTTAATAAATTGTATTCTTCTATAAAATTCAACATACTGTTGTATACAACCTTCTCTATTACTTTGGAAATTATGCGAAGGACAGATACTGGTCTATAATTTGAATATCATGAGGGTCATTCTTTTTGAAGATTGGAATAACTTTTGCCATTTTCAATATGGATGAAAATTGGTTGGTTGTTATTGAGAGATTAACTAAATGAGTTAAAGGAATCGATATATGATCACTTATCAGTTTTATTATTTTTACAGGTATGTTATCAATACCAGTACTAGGCTTATTTTTTAGTTGATCGATTATATTTTTATTTCAATTGGAGTTACGGGTAAAAAGAAAAATGTTTTGTTACACATTTGTGAGGCAGTACAAGAAGAAGGCAACGATGTGCCAAAATGAGTTTGAAGATTGTATTCCGTAATTGTAGCAGAATATGACGCAAACAAATTAGCAATATCACAAGACTTGGTAATAATTTTATTATCATAATGTTGAATAATATCAGACCTGTTCTTTTGTCTACAGGTTTCATTGTGTACTAAATTCCTAATTCTTTTTGGTATATTCTAAGATTGATTAATTAAGTCAATATGAAAGGTTTTTTTAGTATCTATTAATAGAGAATTATATATTTTTTGCCTGTTTATAGGTATCTTGAGACTCGAGACTCCCTATATTTTTTGCTATCCAGTGTAGATTTTTTAGTTTTTCACTAGCGTGTCTTACCTCATTTGTTACCCAAGTAGCCTTATTTGTTTTGTGTGCTTTACACCGTGTTTTTATTGGACAATATAAATTTAGATTGTGATCTAAAATGCTAACAAATGAATTTGTGGCATATTCAGCATTCAATTGTGAATAAACTTCATCAAAAACTGTAGAAGAAATCCCTGCTAAACATCAACATATTTTCATCTGAAATATCCCTGTAACTGATGGGTTTTTTTATCTTTTCCCGATTCTTTATTGGCTTACAAATTTACACTAAGTGAAAATACTTTATGGTCACTGAAATACCCTCGAAAACATTTAATTTATAAAGATGTGGTTCGATATTTGTCAATATGTAGTCCAGTTTTGTAGATGATGTTTTACCCACTTTATCTACGAAAACTCTAGTAGGAACCTCAGACGTGACTTTCAGATTATAACTTACTAAAAACTCGTTAAAAGATTGCTTATTATTAGATATGACAAGATAAACAATGTTTAGATCCCCACAAATATAAATATCATGATATGACTTACTGCATAGCTCCGTGAAGTTTGACTAACTGTTTTGTGTTCCAAGGCAATAGTAAGCGCTTTATCTAAAACTTTCGGTCTTCCTAGTCGTAAAGCTTTCTCTAGTTCACTGTCACTCAACCGATTGAGCACGGCATTCATCTACTTCAAATTCTTACAAATTCTCGCTTGCTCGTTGAATTCTACTTCTTATTTGTGCTTTGTAGACTTGTTGTAGATGTCCATCTCCATAGCGTTTTTCTAGTCGACGACTTCTTTCAGTTCTTCTTCTTTAGTGCCTTATCCGGTTCGGATGTTGGCGAGCATCAAGGCTATCATGGTTTTGTTGACTGCTCTGCGAAACAGCTCCGCGGAGGTCATTCCAAACCATTGTCGGAGATTTTTCAACCACGAGATACGACGGCGTCCCGGTCCTCTCCAGCCAAATACTTTACCCTGCATAAAGAGTTAAAGAATCCGATATTTTTCTTCGTTCCGCATCACGTGCCCGAGGTACTCACTCTTTCACTGAAGGATCTAAAACATTTGCATTAATTGGTGGTAGCACTTCCGAATTGGTTATCATGCTCTTTAATTGTTTGATCTTTTGTTCTACGTCGTCTGTATTTTTCTGTAGCTTACTGAATGTTTTAGAAACTCTTCAAATTTCTCTTGAAAAAATGCCCTTTCGAGTTACATCACATAATATTTTCGGACTAATAATTCCATCATGAGTGCAGTTATCAGGTATACATGAGGGAAGCCACTAAATATGAGGGTAAAACCCTTTAAATGATGTTAAATTAGTTAATTAATACATATTCGTTGATGAATTTAAATGATCTTTTAGATTTAAACATTTACTTCATTTAGTTTAACATATTGGTATAAAAAATTGTTTAAACTCCTTTATAAAAGGTATATAATTTTTATATACCTTTTATAAAGGATTTTAAACAATTTTTTGTGATATATGGTATACAGCCAGCTACAGGAACTTAGTTTCCTAGTGGAATTTTATATTGGTATAAATTTCATATTTTTACCCCCTGAGAATTTCCCTTTGGGATAAGAGCCACTTATTATAGATTTTGGAACCCAATTTTTTACTTATATTTTTTCGTAAATAAGATAAAAAAATAAGTTGAAAGTTGAATTAAATTAGTGACAAGAAATCAGTACCTATTGTTTAAATAAAAAGTTTACAATATAATTAATCAAATCAAAACTAATTTTCATTTACATTTCAGACACATAAACAACCAATTATTGATTATGAATCTGTAAGAGAAAAAGCAGCCATTCAAAAACGAGATATTGAGAAGGCCTTAACAAAGTTCCTTGCTAAAACTAATACTACGCATAATTTGTTTGACACAGATGAGGCTAATATTTTTCCATGTAAGTATAGTAATACAAGATGAGCGTCAGAATATTGTTGTCTCACTCCTGATTGCGGTCCTGTAGCTTATCCAGAACTCTTGAAGTAATGAATTAACTTTTACCATATTATCATCATTCGGATTCACATTCACATTATTGCTATTCCTTTGGGGTGAAAGAACAGGTGGTGGTATACCCGGCACGTTATTTTCGAGGTTATCCATAACTAAACACAAAAACAATTAATTACCTTCTTTCCTGATTATACAGAAGAACATAAGTATAACCCATCGAGCAAAAAGACAAAAGAGGGAATCTAATCCTTATGAAAGGGAGTCCAAAAAAGTGGCCTCTGATGGCGGACATATCCGGAAGTGCGAATGCGCCAAATTTAAATTTTCCGACACTTATTAACAGTAGCTATATACATAATACTTTTCAGAATGTGTCTTAGACGAGAAAGTTTTAATTAATTATTAACGATAATAGTCTAAAATTCGACACAATTGTTAAACAACTTCAATATAAATAAGATTTCATGTGACATTTGGGACAAACAATAACATAACCCAACTAAATTTGATGTCAAACAAGGAGAGAAAGACTTTCTTTCCTTGTTTAATGTGGCCTCTAAAGATCGCACTTCTTGTCTAACAATATTTTTGCTCCCACTACCTTTACATTCCCTCTTTTGTCTTTTTGCTCGATGTTATAACCCCACACCTGATTCTGTAGAAGGATGTCTTCAATTTTTTAAGAAATAAAAAATAATACACAATGTCGTTTACAAAACTTTATTCCTACTTCGTGTCTATCTGTCTATGCTCTGTCAGCTGTTATTACACCTTGACAGAGCGTCAAATTCAAATTCCAAACAAAGGCGGTAACAATAAGAATACCTACAATAGTAAATTTTGACTAAGCGAGAAATTATGGATCAAACACCAACAAAACAACCAAAATAATAATTATTTCCCCTTTTAAATAAACAACATAACTTTCTCCTCCAATTTAAACAATATTTCTTAAACTTAAAACCTATTCTTAAAAAAACTGTATCACCATCATAAATTGTCACCGCCACCTAATCAGGTCGATATTCAGAAGTAACGCTTTCAACCCAAAGCAACTTCGACACAATCCAATATTGACAGAACGACCAACTTAAGAATTTTCATTTACGTTAGGTTATCTAAATTGCCTATCTCTCAGTAATTATAAAAATTAAGTACGCTTTTTTTTTATTGGGGATTCGTATTACAACAACTTTTTATTAATGTATTAACGTGACGGGACGTTACAAGTACTTATTCCATATTTCTAAAATATATTTATTTTTAGTGATTGCTTGTGTTCCTGTATACCCACCATACCTCAGTGCTCTTCTTCCACAAGATCAAATTTTCGACGCAGAAGATTTGGATATTGACCCCAAGAGTCAAATTCTACAACAGCAGAAGAATCACGATAAAGCGAAAAATAATGTGAAACAAGAAAAGAAAGATGACGAGGAACCAGATAATTTAAACGAATCTAGAACAAGTGAGGACAATGCAAACAGTTCGAATTATATAGATAATCCATACCTGGCTGCGACCAAACTACCGGGAGGACACAATATGGAGACAATATGAGATAAAATTGATTTTTTAATTAAGAGGAAAAGTGGTTTTTAAGTTTGTACAGTTGTGGAATATATTATGTATATTTACATTGGCTTTTTATTCTAAATTCATATTTCGAAAACGAACAATTTTCAATATAGTTAAATTACATAATATAATTGAAAAAAATCTATTTGTAAGATACATTTTCGTGAATTTCCAATTCTCTTACCATGATTGTTCTTTATACTAGGTCGGTTTACACTGTCGGTTGTCCAGGAACATTAAAAATATATTTGACTAGCTTTCAATTTATCACACAAGACTTGATTGGTATTATCCGTTCCGGATATTGGTGATAACGTGGTTATCCGTACTTTTCTGGCAACAAAGAGTACTTATATTCACAAAAAAAAATCTTGAAAAGTTAGTGACTAGAACAACAAACTTATAGACAAAGAACAGTTACAGACATGTGGAATTGACAGAAAATTTGTTTACGGTTCATCTTCATGTAACGAGCACTCTTGAACTGAATGGACCAAAGATATTGAAAAGTGAGGTAATAAAAAAGATCAAACGAAAGACAGGAAAGCGACAGGATGCGATGAAATATCAGTTGAATTTTTGAAAGTTTTCAACGAGAACAACCTGACTAATATTAGAACTAATCAATAACAACAACATCGATGGATTTATATCGGAGTAGTTGAAGTCTACGTTCGTGACATTTCCCAAGAAATCAAGTTCTAAGACGTGCAGGGAATACCGCCTTATAAGTTTAGTAAGCCATACTCTTAAAATGTTCGTGCGTATTATCAATTCCTGAATACAAACAAAATTATAACAAACTATAGGTAAACAAGTCTTGGTTCAAAAATGCCTTGATCAACAAAATTATATTTACGCCAGCTTTATCGATTATGAGAAAGCGTTCGACACCATAAAACATGGCAAACTTATAAAACTTGATAAAAAGTATAAAAAATTATATTTTTCGGCATTTGACAAAGGGCATCCAGATTATTAAAAATCTGTATGGAATCAAGCAGCCCACATAAGTATGGATATGTGGCGGGTAACAACAACCATTTCCAAGGTCGTTAGACAGTTTTTGTTTTGTATGTATATGTATGTATTCTTTCGTCCCTACTATTCAACCTATACATGGAATAAATATTTGTAGAGGATCTGGAAGAGTAAAATGAAGACATCATGCTAACGACGTACCAATAAGTATAATAATATATAACGATATGCAGATGATACTGTTATACTGGTCGATGACATCAAAGATTTACAGATAATACTCAATGGAGTACATACAGGCAATCAATTTGGACTTAATAAGATCAACAGAAAGAAAACTAAATTTTTGGTGATTAGTAAGAAGAACATCCAAATATCGACCTGCATATTGAAACCAAACATATTGAAAAAGTATACCAATTCAAATATGTGGGATATAATTACTATGTTAATGGAAATAAGAAACAATTAAAGTTTAAAATAAATTTATTGACTTTTCAATTTCCACTTCATAAATCATTCTCAAAATACAAACATTAATAAATTAAACAAATTTTGTTTTTTCTTACTTTGTGAAAAATTCTTCTAATAATTTAATTTTTTTTACAGACATATATTCTAAATTTTAAAGTAGGGTCATATGTTCAACAATGAACCACACGTACACAATGAACCAATCAATCTTTCGTTAATAATATGCATTTTAGAAAAACGCCGGCACCACTGTACGAATGTACTAGATAACCTAGAACTAAATCTCAGTTATTGTTTTGCCACCACGAAATGTGCACGTGTTATAACGGATTATAAAAATTTGAAGGCATCGAGTAAAATTTTCAAGGTAAGCATTTTCGGTTTTATTTCTTACATGGGTGAATTATTTTAATTTATTCTCTGTGGTACGATACATTGATACATTAGTTAGTGTTTTGGTATATAACTCTAAAATACACTGTTGTAGATAATGACTTATTGGTCTTTGATTGTTATAAGGTGCGGTACGTACACAATGAACCAAACTATGTTGGGACACAATGAATCATGGTTCACTGTGTACCCTTCCAAGTTTTTAGATTTATTTTTATTTTCAGGATGGGTCGCGTTAAGAAAATAGAAAGAAAGAAAGGCGCACATACTGTTGATCAAATGAGGACAGCATTGGACTTAGTAACCAGGGGTATGAGTATTCGAAAAGCAGCAGTAGAAAGTAATTTAGCATATCCTACATTAAGGCGATACGTTGAAAAAAGAAAGTGTGCTCCAAACGAAAACATAAGATTTGTTCCTAACTACGAGACGAACATGATTTTCACAAGTGAACAAGAAGATGCTCTTAAGACCTACTTGAAAACTTGTGCACTTATGTTTTATGGATTGACATCTGTCGAATGTAGAAAGGTTGCATATCAAATGGCTCAAAGGAATAATATCAAAATTCCTGATTCATGGAGGAATGCAGAAATGGCTGGCAGGGAATGGCTCCGAAGTTTTAGGAACAGGCATACAGATCTGTCTCTGAGAAAACCAGAGCCGTGCAGCCTGGCACGTGCGACAGCATTTAACAGAGATAATGTTAATCGCTTTTTTGACAACTTATATGCTGTAATAAATCGAAATGCCGCATTTTCTGACGGTACAAGAATTTACAACTTGGATGAAACTGCAACCACAACGGTGCAAAAAACTCAGAAAATATTGGCACCAAAAGGGAAAAAGTGTTTGGGTAAAGTCACCAGCGGTGAGAAAGGGACACTAGTAACAACGTGCTGTTTTATATGTGCCGGTGGTTATGCTTTACCACCAGCAATAATTTTTCCGCGGAAAAATTATAAGGATTTCATGTTAAAAGGCGCCCCCACTGGCTCTTTAGGCCTTGCTACGCCGACAGGATGGATGAATTCGGAGTTGTTTGTAGAGGTAATGAAACATTTCATTAAACATAGCAGAAGCTCTCATGATAATCCATCAATTTTAATATTCGATAATCATGAATCTCACTTATCAATCGAAGCCTTAGATTTGGCAAAAGCTGCAGGGGTTAATATTGTAACTTTGCATCCCCACACATCGGCTAAATTACAGCCACTTGACGTTGGTTTATATGCGCCGTTCAAGACGTATTATAACAGTGCCATAGAGTCGTGGCTTCTAAGAAATCCTGGTAGGCCGATATCTATTTATGATTTAGCTGAATGTATTGGAATAGCACACAGTCGTTCCATGACTCCTACAAATATAGCCAATGCCTTTAAAAAATGCGGTATATATCCCTTTGATCGGGATATCTTTACAGATGAGGATTTTTTGCCAAGTGAGGTAACAAACAGACCATGCCCAAATGATGAAAGTTCTAATAATACAAGAGACCTTCAAGGAGGTGAACATAACGATGAAATCACTGTGCCAAATGAAAATGACAGTTCTTCAACTAATAACATTCAATCAGAAAACCCCAAACATACGGAAAGTCAAGCAGGACCATCATTTATTCCACCACAACAATTTATGCCTGCATTGAAAGCCCAACCTCGTCAAAATAATAGGAAGAACAGAAAAAGTAAAAAAAGTATTATTGCCACAGATACACCGGAAAAAAACATTATTGAACAAGAAAGGTTGGAAGCTAAAAGAAAGAAGCAAATGAATGAAAATAGGCAAGCTAAGAAGAGAGTGCGTTTTGTTAATGACGATAATACAGATTCAGAGGAGGATGAAATAGATATCCTTGAGAGTGACAGTGACAGTGATAGTGGAGAGTATGAACAAGATCTTCCAGTTTTAAATCCAAATTTGTTTAGTACCCAAGGTTTTAACCCTAACGTAGAAGATTATGTCCTGGTAGAATTTCATCCACCAAGGTCAATAGTATATTTTGTGGGGAAGATATTACAGATAGAACAAGATGGGGAATATCGCATATCATTTTTAAGACTTAAGGATAAATATAGTGAGCAGTTTGTTATGCCCAATGTTCCTGATATAGCTTCCGTCAACAAGAAAGATGTGAAATATATTTTGCCGAGACCAAAACTATGTGGCAGCACAAAACGACAACAATCTTATTTTGCGTTTACAGTGTCTTTTTCTTTATTAAATATCAGATAGAAATTATACCTATCTTCAATTTTATTGTCCTTTTCACCTATTATTTTGCTTTTATATAATAAAACTTTGAAATCTTACTGTTGTTTCTGTAGACCTAATTTTTATTAGGTATGTTTAAAATAAAGCAGTTTGGTTCACTGCGTACGCAGCACTAGTTCATTGTGTACCACCCGTGGGACACAATGAACCAACGGCACTTAAAGGAAAAAAACAATAATAACTCAAAAACATTAATTTTTATTGCTAACCAAATTATGTGTAATATATTACTAATATGTGTTACTTATACTGGTACAATTTCGTGCTTCTAGGTTAAAAGGGAACTGATATAGACAATTTTAAATTTTGAGTGGTTCATTGTTGAACACAGGATCCTAGACGATTATAAAATGATATTGCCAATATTGCCGAGTTGCGTTACTGCGACGACTTTATTGTAAGATAGTTCATTTGATTACATGAAATCAACGTTGACTTGATAATATTCTTCACAACAAATAATAGCGTGTGATTCGTCTTTAAAAAGACAACCACATGCCATGATGACAGTAAAATTCTCCTGTTAGTAATTCCATATAAATCACGAGAAAAAAAAACTCATAATACTATCCCGACATGGTAAGTATTTTATTATCCTAAAAGAAACAGATGGTAAAAACAGAAAAATCAAAGAAGCGGCTCTAATTACGCTGAATGAGACCAATTGTGTCGCAAATTCACTGGCTGAATGCAGTACGATTTTGTTAACCATATTCAAAAAAAGAGGAAGTTCATAAAAGGAAAATACTACTAGTAGTAAGTCGGTAACATATCGAGGATACATAATTTATGTTTTCTAAATATCATACATATAAAATCAGAATTTGGTGTTTATTGAGAGTAAATTTAATGTAAGA